GCAGAACACTGTGCCCCGTCACACCTGCACGCCGGCCAGGAGCTTGGTGGATCTTGGTGACTGAGCAGTAGAAGGGCTGAGAGTTACCTGAGTGTGCAAACAGACAAATGCTGGAAGTGCTCGGGAGACGGCAGCGACGTCAGCTGAGGCAGAGCCTCCTCTTGGCCCGTAGGGCTGGGGGCAGTGAGAGCCCGGGCAGTGACAGGACAGAAATGACAGAGCGACAAGGGAGCTGGGTGAGACTGAGCCTGTCCACGAGAGCTGGAGAACTGCAACCATCTGAATCGGTGGCTGTCTCTATAATAAATCTTAACAATGATAATCATTGGAATAATTGCTGGTTTCAGAAGAGAAGGTGAGATGTCTCCTGAATAGTGTTGCCAGCTTCTGCTGCACTTGTAGAGTCATGCAAGGGGGGGGTTCATCCTCCCAGATCGGTGGCATTTCTGACTGCCTTTGGGCCACTGCCCCCACGGCTCCTCGGTGTGATCCGTCCACGCACAGCCCTTGTCAGGAGGTGCACAAGGACATGGGAAACCCTGGGGATGCCTGGAAGCCTCGGGGCACATCACTGAACCCACATTTTGTCTCCTTGGGCCCACTGGCACCCAGCGCTCCCCTCCACACCTCAGGTCGTGCCAAGGTGTCCCAGAAGCGTCTGCCTTGAGCTGGCTGGCTTGGGTGGCTGTGCTGCTCTGCCATCACTCGCTTCGTTGTGTGTCAGCAAGTGTCTTGCAAGCTGGTGAGAGCAACTGGATGATTCTCTGCTATTCATTTGGAGAGGGAGGGGGTCCTTTTTCCCTCCCGGCTGGACCCCCTCGATGGAGACCTGTGCAGCCCCTCCAGCACCTTTCCTGACACCAGGCAGGATTACTGGTAAAACAAAGCAAAGATGGATTTTACAGTTCGCTGTAGGAGGAGGTAGAGCTGATAGTTAAACAGAAAAGCCTGGGAGAGAGAGCAATTACAAAAGCATAAAACAATATCTAAATCTGTGGGAATGTTAAGGAACTGAGCTGGAGGGAATTTTAAACTGATTCTTCTTGGCTGTTCCAGAATGTTGCTGGTATAGTGGGATTGGGAATGTGCTGCTAATGACCTTGTATCCATGAATGCACTCGTGTTTGCCCCTGGTGCCACCTCAGGGCAGAGTAATTTCTTTTTCTTCTCTGCTTTGTTTCCATGTAAATGAAACACTCCTGGGTGACATAGGAAGTCTTAACTTCTGCCATTCACAGTGTTTGCTGGGTTTTACTACTCTGTGTCTTGTTTTACATTCCTTTGTATTTTAGTTCTGGTCATTCCCCCCAAGCCCAGATGTCTTCTCAAGACCTATAAACACTTCCTTGAGGAGACTTCATTTCGTTACAAGTACTAACATACCATACATTTTGTTAAGCTTTACAGTCTCTTAGCCTCTGACACAGAGTGTTGTATATCCTTAACTTTGAGAGACACTTGAAAATGAGGAGGTTTGTGCAGACAGACTGCAAATCAAATGGAGCCCCTCCCAGCACATTTGGGCCAGGAGGCACCTGTGAACCTCAGCCTGGGCTGGGAGCACCCATGGTCTGTTGGGAACGCTGCAGCAAGCCTGGCTCCTGCACGAGCAGATAAGTGGGTTGTTGCAGTTTTGTGCCAAAGGGGGTTCGTGGCTCAGCCTGGGCTTTTACATAGTCTTTCTGTGCAAAACATGAGGCTGGCCCCAGTGCAGCCTCCGCATCTGGGAGTCCTCTCGCTCCTCTGCCTCTGGCCCCCACCAGTCCTTCAGCCGATCTTGGACTCCCTGGAGTAGAATATGAGCCTCCTCCAAGTTGGATTTTATTAACCCTGTCAGAGCTACTGGCAGCCCACAGTAGAAGCAAAAGCTGGGAATCCTTCATGCGAATCAGCTGCAGATACCAGCTGGGACCAGGTTGGGCTGGTGGCCATTCCTGGGCTCCACTGGGATATTTAGAGATGTTTCTGCCTGGCTGATAGCACCCCGGGCTTGTTCTTCTGTCCAAAGCCCTTTTCTACCCTCAGCTGGCTTTTGCTTACGTGATCTTGTTGAAGGCTGCAAAAGGGTTTGCTTCCTTTGCACTGGGGCCCAGCAGATGTTGGTGGTTGTGGCCAGCAATGTGCTGCTATGGTAGAGGTGGCCAATGGCACCTGGGACTGCGTTAGGAAGAGCATCATCAGCAGTTGATGGAGGTGACTTGTCCCTTCTACTCAGCACTGGTGACATGTGAGCGCTGTGTCTGGTCCTGGACTGCCAGATGAGAGATATGGGCATGCCACAGTGAGTCCCGGGAAGGGCCATGGAGATCGGTGAAGTATTGGAGCATTGGCCAAATGCAAGGAGGCTGGGATCTGGCTGATCCTGTTTAGAGCTGGGGCTTGGACAAGGTGGTCTCCATCGGCCCCTTCCAGCCTCCCCTGTCGGTGACCCTGAGGGTGCTCTGTGACCTGCCTGTGCTCACACTGTCCTGCGGTTTCCAGGTGTGATCCGGACAGCCGTGGCTGACCTGGACCGTGAGACACAGGACCGGTATGAGGTGGTGATCCGCGCAACGGACATGGCAGGACAGGTGGGTGGCCTGTCTGGATCCACCACAGTCACCATCGTAGTCACCGATGTCAATGACAACCCACCACGCTTCCCTCAGAGTAAGTCCTGACAGCACTGGGGGGGTGAGTGCTGGCCCCTGTCCTTGGCGGGTGGTGGGACAGATGCTCAGCTCCCGGCACAGACCAGCACGTGTCTGTAGGGTGAGCCAGCCCGGCTGCTTGTGCTGCTCACGGGGCAGCATCGCCGAGGTGTCGCAGCGTGCTCTGCTCCTTGCTGGGGTTGAGTGTGTCCCTGCCTGGCTGAGCCTGTGCAGGGTGCTGGCCAGGAGCCCCTGCTCCCAGTGCCGGTCCTGGCAGTGAGTGGGGCTGCACAGTGTGGAGAGCAGAGTTGCCCTTTCCTGACCCCTCTCTGAGCTGCGCTGCGGGAGAAGGCAGACTGTTCTGTTGCGCTGCTGTCTCCTGGGAGCCTGAGCAAGGACTCTGCTGTCAGCTGCTGGCCTTGGCCCCTCCTGGCTGCTGCGTCACAACTTGGCACGTGTTGCCCCAACGAGAGGCACGATGACTGCTAGCTCACAGACTACAGCCTTGTCACAGGACAACCCTGTTTTCCAAGTCACTGCTAGTGGCCCATGGCTCACACTGGTGTCTCATCTGGGCCCCTCCACAAGCGAGGAGGGTGGGTGATCCTGCTGCAAAGAGTGGGCTGTGCAATCCCTGCAGTGCACACCAGCTGCAGAGACCAGCAGCACGTGGCCGGCAGACCAGAAAAGGTGCTGCAGCTGGAAGAGGCTCAGCTCTTTAGCTCCATCTCCTAGAAATTAGACATGACAAATTTTGCAAAGAATCAGAGAACACTGATTGCAGGGTGCAGTGTCCGTACAGAGAAATTATCCCTTACTTCACCTTGAAACGTCAGTGCTCCCCAATTATCTTCCCTCAGCCCTTGTTTTTGGCTGGGGTATGTTTCTCCTGGTAGGGCATTATGGACTATAGCCACTGGCAGAGTTTGGACAGCCCTATTGTCTGAGGGTGTCCCCAGGAAGGTACAGGAAGAACTGTGTCAGGCTGGAGGGGGTTCAAAGGCAGAAGCAATGACCTTAGTGCCTTTTTCTCCTCCAGAGATGTACCAGTTCAGCATTGTTGAAACTGCCCCTGTGGGCACTGCCATCGGGAGGGTGAAGGCAGAGGACTCTGACGTCGGGGAGAACACGGACATGACGTATCAGGTGAAGGATGAGGAAGGGGTGGAGATGTTCAAAGTCACCACGGACAGCAATACCCAAGAGGCTGTTATCACGATACAGAAGGTGAGAGATGAGGAAGGCTGGCTGGGTAGGAAGGGCACAGATCTTTAGGAGGGCCCTTTGCTTTGGGGCTCCTGCCCCTGCATTCAAGTTGAAATAAACACTCCTCCAAGCCTGCTCTAGCAGTAACGGTTGCATTTTTGTGCCTGCAAGTGCAGGGAGAGTCCTGCCCCTTCCACCTGTGTCTGGGAGGAAAGGCTGTAAAGCAGCAGCAGCACAATGCCTGCTGGAGCCCCTGCAGACGGCTCCCTGGGGGCAGTGGAGAAGCGAGCCCTGCACCGGGCTGTGGAGACGAGTGCTGACAGCTGTTATTGATAGCACCTGTTAGGGGAGAAATATGCCCACCCCGTTCCTATACCTGACCAGCAGCACTTTGACTGTATCTGCTTTTGGTGGCAAAAACAATCAAGCAAACACTTCATGCAGGCAAGAAAGAACGATTGTTCACCAAGGCCACTGCATTCAGCTCGCCTCCCCTGCAGAAATAGTAGGAGGGTGATTAATGATCATAATCCACGCACTTGCAGCGCACAGTGTGCTGTCTTCCTAGTGAATCCTGGCTGCCTGCAGCCTGGATGCCTTGTTGGGGCCCTGAGGGGAGTGGACTGGAGGCTTCTTCTTCCTCCTGCCCCCTCGGCGTGGGTGCCACTGGTGGGAGGGCAGAGCTGGCTGTGCTGCCTGGGGAGCAGGTGGCTTTAGTGCTGCCCCCCGTGTCCCTGATGAAGGAGGAGGCAGCAGGGGGGCTCCTTGGGCTTCATATGGCTAACCCTTTCCTGTTGTCCCAGCCTCTTGACTACGAATCAAAAAAAGTGCACACCGTCGTGGTGGAGGCCCTCAACAAGTTCGTCGACCCGCGGTTTGTGGACCTGGGCACGTTCCGAGACCAGACTATTGTGCGGGTCTCGGTGCTGGACGTTGACGAGCCCCCAGAGTTCCGTCCCCCCTCTCACCTGATGGAGGTCCAGGAGGACGCGCACGTTGGCTCTGTCGTGGGGGTGGTCACCGCCCTTGACCCAGACGTGGCGAACCATCCTGTACGGTAAAGCAGCTGCCTAAACCCCACATCATCTTTCTTCCAGCGGTGGGCGTGGGATCCCCCTGCAAGGGACACGTGTGGCCTAGGGGTGCTTGTGGCTGGGGCAGAGAGGGGGTGATGGCAAGGAGGAGTGGCAGGGCAGGTGACGATGACAAGTGCTGCACGCATGCTCAAGCATGTGTGTGTGTCCTATGCGACAGGCAGCTGGCAGGTGAGTGGCAGCCTGTGGACAAGCAACACGGCAGGCAGAGC